CAGCCAAGCTTAAACCAAGGACACCTCAGAATCACAGAATAATAGGGGTTGGAAGGGACCCCCTGTGGGTCATCTAGTCCAACCCCCCTGCCGAAGCAGGGTCACCTACAGCAGGCTGCCCAGGACCCTGTCCAGGAGGGGGTGGTATGTATAGATATATGTATCTATCTATACACACACACAAATTAATATGATAGAAAATTATTCTACATTCTGCTTTTAAAAAAAAAAACAAAACATTGAAATTCTACGCATCTTTTTGCCGGACTTCACAGAATCACAGAATCACAGAATAGTAGGGGTTGGAAGGGACCTCTGTGGGTCACCTAGTCCAAATCCCCTGCCGAAGCAGGGTCACCTACAGCAGGCTGCACAGGACGTTGTCCAGGTGGGTCTTGAATATCTCCAGAGAAGGAGACTCCACAACCTCCCTGGGCAGCCTGTTCCAGTGCTCCGTCACCCTCAGAGGGAAGAAGTTCTTCCTCATGTTCAGACGGAACTTCCTGTGCCTCAGTTTGTGCCCATTGCCCCTTGTCCTGTCACTGGGCACCACTGAAAAGAGCTTGGCCCCATCCTCCTGACACCCACCCTGCAGATATTTGTAGGCATTTATAAGGTCCCCTCGCAGGGTCCTGGAGAGCACCGCAGCCTCAGGGAGAAGCGAGAGAGGGGAAAAAAAAAAAAAAAAGAGGTTCTAGAGTCTTCCACTTGTGACAGCCTCAAAAGAAGTCTCAACAGCATGTCCCCAGCACGACATACAGTCCCTAGCCCACAGGACATCTGGCCTCGGACTCTGGCATGCTCCAAGGATGTGGTTAAAGCCCTCCCGACCTTGGCCAAGAACAGATGGTGTTTTCATGTCAAGGAGCTGCTGCAGTTCCTGCTCAAAACCAAAGCTCCTCTCCCTGCACCCTGCTGGGACAGAGCAGGAATCTGCACTCCCTGCAAACCCATGCCCACATCATAACAAGTCTGGACAAAACCAGCCCTACGCCACAGGGCCAGCCCAGCACTCGCAGTCTCGTCCCAGCAGGGCTGCAGCACTGCTCCCAGCATGCGGGACACATCCCCAGGTCATGACTCCCCTGCCCAGCTCTGTCTTCAAGGACGAAGGCACAGATTCCCATCCCTCTGAACCCAAACTAAACATGCACCACGTACACGGATGATGGAGTTCAGTTCTGGCGCTGTAACCTGCTTGGCTCGTTCAATGGCTCCCAGCACTTGCTGCTGATGCTGGTGTGGAGGGAAAAGAGGAATTCAGAGTCATTTTTAGTATTGCAGGGAAGGAGAAGAGGGACCCAGCCCTGCTGGGTCTGACACACAGACACATACATTATCTCAGCTGCAGGCACCGAGATGTCAGGGCACAGAGGCAGGCTGGCTGACCCCACAGCTGGAGACACCTGCACGCACTTCATGTGTGACCTTACAGCACCGAGGCCCACAGTAGCGAGGAACAGGTAAGGAGGCACGCTTGTCTCATTCCAGTTCCTCACCACAGGGTCAAGCAGGTCCCCTTGTACTCCTGCCCTCAGAATCACAGAATCACAGAATAGCAGGGGTTGGAAGGGACCTCTGTGGGTCACCCAGTCCAACCCCC